GCAGCCGAGCCGCTGTAACAGGGGGATTATGTGATCTCCCCGCGACCAGCCTCTGTTAGCAACCTGACTGCCATCTTTTGGCCCTGCTGAAGTTTCATGGCATTTCCCGGAGGTAGCCCCAAGTATAGAGAGCATTACAGTCGTCCAGACTGGGTGTCACTAAAGCACGTGTCACCATGGGCAGATCAGACCTCTCCAGGAACAGGCGCAGCTGGTGCGCTAGTCCTAACTGGCCACTCCTGGCCACCATGGAAACCTAGGGCATCCTGGCTTGGAGACGAATCCAGGAGGAGCACCGCCCCCCAAGCGGCTCACTTGTGTTTGCAGTGGGAGCGTAACCCCATCCAGCACAGGCTGTACAACCCTATTCCCTGATCGGCCTTTCGACGGACCGGGAGCCCCTCTGTCTGGTCTGGATTCAGTGTCCTCCTCAAAACAATGTCCCGTCCGGAGAAACAGCCCAGAAGGACACCATTGAAAGGTCCACTCAGAGGGTCCAGCAGAACCACGAGGGACACATTCCCCCTGTCCAGTTCCCAGTGTCGATTGTCTCCCTCCCCCTCCAGGCGGCCAAAACTATCTCTGTCCCATAACCGGGCCTGAAGTCAGACGGAAATGAATTACAAATCCACCCAGGTCCTGAATCGAATGTCCCTCCACGTTGCGCCAAAAGGATCCACCTCCGATGCCTTGAATTGGTCTCTGTTGAATCTGTGCGAAAACCCTGCGATCGAGGAGATGAATCACAGCTTTCCAGATACAACGACGTGGAGTTTGCCATCGCCGTTGGCACCGAAGATAAGTGATGGATTTTGTGCTGCCACGGAGACGGGGAGCCTTCGTGATTAGTTGTAGCACTTTCCTTGACGTGAGCATTACATATTCATTCTGATGCTTTCCGGTCTCATCTTGACTGTGTCTGGAGGATGTCATGGTTATATTTCTGAAAATGTACTCAATGGCAAGCTGTGAGCAATTCCACTTCTATTTCCCCCCTCCCTTTTATTCCAACACTGAAAAATCAAGGCAGAATCAGATGTTAGGTTCTTCTGTTGAAAATGCTTGCTTTTATTCTATTTTAGTGGAAGTCACAAGCTTTGCATGAATAGAACAACCCATAACTTGATGTACTTCGTGCCTCATCTAGGTGAGGCCACAGCCACTGTGACGGTTAGGCATGCTTGCTGCTCTATTGCACCATGACATTGCCCCGTGGTGGGGTCTGCCCATCCTGTGCCCCTACTGAGAGCATTGTTGCAACATGGAGCAACTATTCCCCCTCTAAACTCTGTTGAGTGCAAATCTATGCGTTGGATAGACAAGTCTGCCACCTAGTGACTGGAGATGGTACAGTAGGCTTCCAATCTATGGATGTTTAAATCCATTAGAACTAAATGATGTGTTTCAAAAAGCCAAATAATTCCCATATCTGTACACCAAGTATAACAAGTCTTTTGTGGGTCATACATTCATGAGCTTGAACCTCTGACCTGCACAAACATGTACAGTTTTTCTGTCATTAGGAATATGTCCCGCCGCTCAGCCAAGGAAATCAAGGGAGCTTGTCTGGTTCCTGCAGGGAAGGCGATTGGTTTGGAGGTGCCTGTTGAGCTTTGCAGCCGAGGAGACCCTCTGAACTAGCGTGAGGACCCTCCTCTTGTGCTGTCACTGGGGTGGCAGCAAGCCATGCTTGAATTTATGGTGGGAAAAAGGATGAGCTCTTAATGGAAGTATCCATGCCTCCCTCCCACGCCTGTGCACAAACATTCACGCGTTGCACAAATCACGCTTCGCCCTCTCAAAATTTTCTGAAACTATGCCTGAGGTGGGCCACCATAGATCTCCTCCAGTAGGTAGTCCGTCAACCTGTCTACATAGGTTCCCGTTAATTAATAACAATGTGCTGTCAAGTCCGTTCTGACTGAGGGCAACCCTTTTTAGGGGTTTCTGGGTAGGGAGGACTCAGAAATGGTTTCCCACATTTCCCTGTTCTGGGTGGGATCCCTGGGACTGTTCAGCTAGCCCAAGGCCACCCAGGCTGGCTCTTCTCCCAGGAGGGATTCAAACTCCTCACCTCTGGCTCCGATGAGCTCAACGAAGCATGACATCATCATTCCCCTCTCTGCTATAGAATTAGGCCACCTCTCTTAGGGGGGCAGATCACTCCACGCTTGTTTGGTTCTGCCTTGGTCAAATGAGGCAGGTATACTGGGCAACTTTCAAGCGAGGGCCGGCTCTCGCGTTAGCCGAAGCGAGGCGGGGGCCCTCGGAGGATGGAGCGCGGGGGGCAGCCGATGGGCGGCTGGCTCACCCACCTACCTGTGGACAGAAGGGGTCTTTGCTGCCCCCCAGTAGGGGAGGGTGGGAGTTTTCCTTGCCCGCTGGGGGTATTTAGAGAGATGCCCTTCGGGGCTGCTCTCTGAAACCAGCTTCTGAGACGGCAGGACAAGGGAGCGGCACTTTCTCACTACAGCATGAGGGCTGGCCCAGAATGGGATCCTGTTCGTTGGCCGGCCGTGACAGAAGGACCGTGGAATTGGCCGTTTGCTTTTTCCCCTCTGACGCGTCGAGCCCTTCAACCACCCCTGGTGAACCATGCATCACAATCCCGTTCAGCAGCAACTGAAAACATAGGCCTTTGGCCCCTGGAACTCCTTGCTTCATGATTTCACCCTGTGCGGGTGTTTTCCCATCTTCTGCTTTCTTTTCCCCCTTGATGTTTCCTCGGTGCCTTTGCCGAATCAAACAGAGCGAGTTTTGAGTCAACACAGCTTGTAGAGGGCGAGCAGGGAGGGGCTGCCCGGTGGGTCAACAAAGCTGTCCAGATGTTGCCATAGAGAAGCGGTTTATGGGCCAATTTCCACTCCAAGGCGCTTCCTGCTTGGCCCCAAGCCAACTGGCAGCCTCCTGCTGCTTCTCTCTGGGCCAAATTGGCCGGCATCCCATAGGAACCTCCGGCCGGGGCAGGGAGGCCAGCCGTCCCGAGATCCGTCTTGACTGAGTAGATCTTTTTATTGGCAAAAGCTTGACTCCTCGCCTGGCTTGTTTCCTTCAACCCTGAGCTCAGGAGAAGATCTCGTCCCTGTTGTTGGTTCGTGCCGTGGATCTGCCGCAAATCCATCAAATCCCGTCAACTCCACCAAGTTTGGTGCCAAAGGGGTCGCTCTCCTCCGTAAGCCCTCCACTCTCACGAGGTAGGCCAGGTGAAGAGTGGAGGACCGGGTATAGTGGGCTCAGGGTTCAAGCCCCAGGGCCAGATGCCCAGCGTGGGAGTTTTCCTGGATTCGTCTCCGAGCCTGGATGCCCAGGTTTCGGCGGTGGTCGGGAGTGCCCTCTGAGTGGGCCCCTGCCGGAGGATGCCAGGCCGGGAAGTGCCGGTCACCTGTTTGGCCGAAAAATCAAACTGGTGGCGAAACCCTATACTCACGATCCGTGTCCTTCTGTAGGGCTGGGTTAACCCCTCTGCTCCGTGGGTGGAACGCCGTATGGACGCCGCGGCACAGACAGAGCTGGGGAAAGTGACTTTCCAAAATATTTCTCTTAAACTGTTGACTATCTGCCCGTTCCTACAGAGCAGAGAAGGGGCCACTGTCATTTCTTGGGTGTCGGGCGGTGGCTGACTCCGATCCTGGTTTGGGTCCAAATTTTGCGGGCGCCTCTCCCCAAGGGTTGGAAGACCACCACCCACCACCCCGCTTTGCCCGAAACAGGGCCAGTGCTTTGAGAAGGGCTTCTTTCAAGTTCAGGCGACAGCCCGGAGCGGATCCTCCACCTTCGTGCTTCTATGATCTTGTGGGGGGGGGATTAGCCTGGAAAGGCCCAACGGCTTGAAGAAGGGCCCCGAGCACTTCGGCTGCGGGAGAATTAAGGGGGGGGGAAGAGGGAAACGGGTGACGAGGCGAACAGGCGCCTCTCTTGCCTAAGACCAGACTGGACTCCGGGAGGAAAAAGCTAGAGAAAGAAGCTGCACCTTTTGCATTTTTATCCCCTGTACGGTTCTGATTTCCCTCAACAGCTTTAATTTCATTTCTTTCTTCTCCCCACGTGCAGGTCAAGCAAATAATGGAAGAAGCCGTCACCCGCAAGTTTGTTCACGAAGACAGCAGCCACGTCATTGCGCTGTGCGGTAAGTTGAGGCCTCATCCTGGCCCCCCCACATCCAGCCCACCTCCCCTCCGCCGGTTTTCATTCTGCTGCACAACTATGTTTTTTTTGGTACCAGAAGTTAATGGTTACTGCCATGGAAAATTGGGTCTTGGGTTCTAATGGCGCCTGTTTTCAGCAAAATGTCTGACTGATCAACATTTTGAATTTAGATGGTATTTGTTTCTTAGTGTGTCTCTCCTACTTTTATTAAAACAATATGATTATTTTTTTTACTAGCTAATTTGTTTAGATTTTGTGGAACAGAATGTGGTAGACTGGTGATGTGTTTTCAGCTTAGTTGGTATTTCAGTGGTTTTGTTAAAGCATCACGTTTAAAATACGACAGGACCCCCTTATCCGCGGGATCAGTATCAGCTGATTTATTTATCCATTGTCTGAAAATATTAAACACATTAGAAGGAAAACCTTAGAAATATATTTTTCTAAAATTGAAGTTATCAGAACGGGTTATTAGAGACAGCCAGAGACCACACTATGAATATGGTTTGCTAGAGAATTATATTTCCACCATGTGATTACCAAAACTGGCCACTAGAGGGAGCCAGAGAGCATGCTACCAATAGCATTTGCTCCAGAAATAGACTTCCACAAGGTCATTACCAGAACTGGCCACTAGAAGGAGCTAGGGACTATGCTAAGGCTCACTATTAAAATAATGTTTGCAAAATATGACAATATGGTAATGTTTGAGAAATCCACATTTTTCAGCATCCATAAGGGGGTATGAAACCGATTTCTACAGAGAGGAGTCCTCCTATTAAAAGTCAATTAAAAAAACAAGCCATATGAGAGCTTATGGTCATGAGAAGGAGCTGCAAAGTCCAGAGATGGCGTCTGGAGATTGCCCGCTCTGGAATAAACCTTTGCCATTCTGTTGCCGGTGGGCATTATGCGCCAGCTCATACCTACGTCAGGGCCCACCCGCATCTCTGGCTTGTTGTACTCTGTGATTTTGCCCTCTGTCTTACAGGCCCATAATGTCTGTCCATGCTCGGTTTTGCTCCTCTTTCCTTTTCCTTTGAGTCTTTGAACTCTGAAATTGGGCTGGCTCTATCGGTCGTCAGAGCGGCGAGCCATAGGGAGCCACCAAAACTTGCCGTACGGCGCTAATGTGGTGCAGGGGTGAGTGCGGAGGACTCGAACTCGGGCCTGGCCAAAAAACAACAACAGGTTAGGTTATTTATCGGGGGCCACACACCCTACCTCCCAAGGATGGTGGTGAAATTAAAAGGGAGAGGAAGATGGCCATCATGCACTGAATGGGGGCGAGGGAGGAGATTTGGATGTAGAAGAAAGGGAGGTGGCTCTCGCACGTGGTGGATGGCAACCTCAAAGATGGGAGGTGGCGGCAGGCTTTCTCCTGCCTCAGGCGGCAGGAAGACGTGGGCCGCCCCCACGATGAAACGCCACACCTTTTCTGCCGAAATACATTTGCAAGATGTCTCGCGATCATGAATATTAAAATGTTCTTGCAGCGACCCAGCGGCTGTAATCACCTCCTTTCATGCCACCATTTTACACATTCTCAGGTGGTCCCAACTGGGGTTGCCGGCCTGGATGCCCGGCGTGACGTTCTCCGTTTGTTAAATCTCTTTTCACGGTGCCTTCCCTCCCTGGAGGCCTGGAGTTGATCATTAGGATGGCTGCCGTGCGGAGCTGAGTGTTATTACCTCTGATGGGCGCCCGCTGTTTGTAGGTAGTGTTTTTTTGATTGATTCGTCATTTGAAGAAAATAAAAGCGGAGGCCCTGCCAGAGTTTGCTTTGCTTTGTTTTATTTTCCTGGCACAGAAGCTGGTTTACAGGCTTCGCGCCTCCTCGGCGGTGTGGTAACGGTTTGCTTGGCAGCGGGGCGGTGTTGCCCAGGCAAGCTCTTCGACTTAGCGATGGATCGCAAATAGGATATGATTTAAAGCAAAGCCGTTTAAATCACAATTTAAGTTGGAAACCAGACTTTTGGAGGATTTAAATTTTTTTTTTTAAAGCATTTTTCAAAATTGAAATCATGATGTAAATCGGTGACAAAACCTGGCATATTATTTTTGAAAAGGAACTTATTGCATCATTTATTATTTCTTGGCAAGCGGGTCCATATTGTTATCATTGCTTTGACTGGGCAAAGTCGCTTGTTGCGTTGTGTATTGCATATGGGTTGAACTGACCTTGCCAGAAGTCCAGAAAAATATAGGGAAATCCTCTCTGGTTCCCTCTAGTGGCTGGTTCTGATATTGCACCTTCCAATAAATACCAACTATGTGCTCTCATTGAATCATGAAGTTGGAAGGGGCCTATAAGGCCATAGAGTCCAACCCCCTGCTCAAGGCAGGAATCCAAGTTAGAGCACTCCCTTGTCATACTGCTCTAACAGTTAAGAAATTTTTTCTGATATTCAACCGAAATCTGCTGTCCTGTAACTTGACCCCATTGGTGCATGTCCTGCACTCTGGGATGATGGAGAACAGATCCTGCTCCTCCTTTGTAGGACAACCTTTCAGGTCTTTGAAAAGTGCTGTCCTATCTCCCTTTAGTCTTCTTTTTCCAGGTTTAAACAGGCCCAATCCTTTCAATCTTTCCTCCCAGGGCTGTCGAAACAATTCCAAAATACAAAAGATTCTTAGGACCAGTAAGAGAATGGCATGCATCTGGGAAAAAAATCTTGCAAAAATTCAACAGAAATGCCTTAAAATGTCTTTGAAAAGTAACTTTGGAAAATAACTACAAAAGATTGTTATGCTTGAAAAGTAATTACATAGTAACTTGTTTTATTACTTTAACTTTGGAACTTCTTGTGTAATTTGTTACCTCCAGATTTTTTGTAACTACATGATTTGTAACTAGTTACTTCCAAGTGATGTTGCTGGGACATGTCAACTGGTTACAAGATGGGAGGAATTTGGCAGAGTTGCTCGGTGGAGAGAGGGACTGGGTGAGGTGTAAAAGGCTGATGGGCAGTGAGGAGAGGGCTGGAACAGGAGAGAAAACAGCTCAGGAGGAGATCCTGATGATTCAAGAAGTCAAACATCAGCCTTCCTTGCATGGGGATTAACAAGGAGCAAAGAGACCCAGAAACTGAATCTCTCTCACTGTGATTATCCTTGGAGAATCACTGCCCTACATGTCCAAAGCTGTTAATATGCCAATGCCGATGTGGCCCTCCGGAAGATCTCTCCAGCTCCAGGCGTTGCAAGGGAAGCATTTCGACAGAGGGAGGTAATGGCTAGCCCAAGAGCGCTAAGATAGATCGGTGGCAAATGGGAGTTGGAACTCCATTCTCTTAATCCAGCACCCTAGCTATTCTTCGTACCGTATCCCTAATGTTTTCTACCATATTCCTGAGCCATTGGCTATGCTGGGCACAGCATTTTGAGGGTCCACATTAAGGATGGGGGGATCTTAACATTCAACTGTAATCCTGCTTTTGCATTTTGTTCTTTGGCCGTCCTCAGTAGTTGTTCAAAGGCATTGGCATTTGCTGCCAATAATACTGTAGCATTTCCATTTAAATGGCTAATATCTGTGAAGATGCTCAGTCCTCCAGGTGAGGTTATTTAGACATTGAGTCATGGCAACTGGACTTCTTATTAGGTTGAAACGGTTCTCTAGTTGCCCAAGGAGAACAGATGGAACAGAGAAGGGGATTAAAATGCACCCTTGTCAGATGCCTTTGCCTGTAGGAAACCATTCCGTCTCCATATTTTGTCCTAACAGTAGATTTCTTCCTGTAATCTGTAAAATGCAGGCTGATTTTCTTCTGAAATTGTTTGCTGCACGCCAGTAGTGGACACATGTTTGAAATTTGATCTGAAGTGCCACGGTTTTGGGGAAGGTTGAGCAGCTGCCATTTCTCACTCCATTTATGTAAACTTCTTTGTTGTAGTCTCTTGCACAGATAATGTGTTGAGCCTATATTTATTTCACTCTTTAGTGTCTCCTTCCTTTGGGATTTAAATATGTATTGCACATTTTGAATATGTGAGCCATTTTTTTTCCTCCATATTTGTTGGCATATTCATGTTTTGATAGTTTCAGTCTTTCTATGTTAAAATATGTACAGTATATGGTATCCTGTTCTGGTGATTTATTTCTTCCAGTTGCTTAGATATTGTTGTTCACTTCACTTTCTGAAACTTTTTGAAAGGATTCTTCTTTAAAGGAATCAGTCGTGCTTGCTTCTCTTCTTATTTCCATCCTCCCTGATGAGATAATATATTGCCTTGTTGATCTTTCAGCCATGCTGAACTTGCTTTAAGTTTCCCATTGATTTCTTGGCTCTTAGGGAAGAGATTTCTTGTTTTTCTTGCTTTGTGGTTTCTGCCTTCTTCATCCCACCTTCCCTGATGTACTCAAACCCCATCACCATGCTAAGCATTTAATTTATTAAAAATATATAAGTGGTCAGCCAGCTGAGAAAAAAAGCATATTCAACAGAAACTGGCAGCATCCTGATTGTGCAGCTGGTTGCAAAACTGGTCACACAAGCCTCAACCCCCAAAGTTGATTGATTGCTGATGCGTTCATGATTCATGTTGGGATTCTAGCATCTGTGTCATATCATCGTCGTCATTTAGTCGTTTAGTCGTGTCCGACTCTTTGTGACCCCATGGACCAGCGCACGCCAGGCCCTCCTATCTTCCACTGCTTCCCGTAGTTGTGTCAATTTCATGTTGGTTGCTTCGCAGACACTCTTCAACCATCTCGTCCTCTGTCGTCCCCTTCTCCTCCTCTTGCCTTCACACTTTCCCAACATCAGGGTCTTTTCCAGGGAGTCTTCTCTCTTCTCATGAGATGGCCAAAGTACTGGAGCCTCAGCTTCAGGATCTGTCCTTCCAGTGAACACTCAGGGTTGATTTCCTTTAGAATTGATAGGTTTGTTCTCCTTGCAGTCCAGGGGATTCTCAAGAGTCTCCTCCAGCACCACAATTCAAAGGCATCAATTCTTTGGCGGTCTGCTTTCTTTATGG